CACCCCTAAAGCCAGGAAGTACATTCATGGTTCCCAGGGGTGGGGAGTTGGGGTTAGTGGGGAATGCTGTAAAGAATAAGGGACTTACCCCATATTTTTAATTGGTTCATTATAGCTGTGCATAATGTTGGGGTTTGTTGTCACATATTCACACGTCACATGATAACAATATAATTTGGTCCATATCATTCCCTTTTCCTTCCCTCCTCTCTTCCTCTGGGATCTCTGCTGATCTCCTTTCCATTTCCATGAGATCCCCCCACTTTTCCTTTTTCTCTCTAGCTTCCACAGATGAGAGAAAATATATGAACCTTCACCCTCTTGAGTTTGGCTTATTTTGTTATTATGTTAAGATTGCTGGGGCTGGGGATGTGGCTCAAGCGGTAGCGCGCTCGCTTGGCATGCGTGCGGCCCGGGTTCGATCCTCAGCACCACATACAAACAAAGATGTTGTGTCTGCCGAAAACTAAAAAATAAATATTAAAATTCTCTCTCTCTACCTCTCTCTCTCCCTCTCTCTTTAAAAAAAAAAAAGATTGCTTAACAGAATGCTCTCTAGTTTCATTCATTTCCTGCAAATGCCATAATTTCACTCTTCTTTGTGGGTGAACAGGATAAGGGATTTCTTTGGGGGGGGGTGATAAAAATGTTCTGAAATTAGGTAGTATTCATAATTGCACAATTCTGACATACTGTCCTAAAAACCACTGAATTGTATAAGAGGGGTGAATTTTATGGTATGTGAATTATGTCTCAAGGCCATTATAAAAGCAAAACAAAACAAGTATTTCTGCTTGTTCTCTGGTACATGCCTTCTCTGGAAGGGTTCAGAGCTTCTTCCATTGTTGCATAAAACACGGCCAGATGCAGCCACTGAAGTGGCCAGAAAGAAACAGATGAGGGGAGCCAGCATGGCCAGGAAACCCTGCAAGGCCTCCCTCTGTCTCTGCTATTCCAGATGCAGTGGGCACCTGAGCCTCTGCTCACAGAGACCACCTCTCCCCAGAGGCTGCCTCCTCCAGTGCCAAGGTGGACACATCCCCATCATCTCCAGTGCTGGGGAAGGACGGGGTGGCCTAAAGCAAGCTCACTGGCTCTCTTCTGAGTGAGCTTTGCCTCCTGAGCCTCAGCATCCTCATCTGTGAACGGGTCAGTAAGAGCAGGGCCAGTCTGCTCTCGTTTTCCGGTTCCCAGTTCAGCTCACTGTCTGTTATACCCTCCTTTCTGTAAAAACTTGCATTTGTGGGACTTTTTTGTTTCTTCACTTTTGATGATTGGGATTTTTATTAAATATCATTCATTTGTTTAGAAACAAAATTGATCCCGCGTGGTGGTGCATGGTTGTGGTCTCAGCCACTGGGGAGGCTGAGGCAGAAAGATTGCTTGAGTGCAGGAGTTCAAGGCCAATCTAAACAACATTGTGAGACCCTGTCTCAAAAACAAAAACAAAAGAAATGGAAATGCCAGGGATATGAAGAAGAAACTCCCAGGATTCCAGGAAGAGAGGCAAATAAGTAACTTAGCAATTAGTCTCAGTGCTATGAATGGGACCTAATCTCAGATTAGTCTCAGTGCTATGAATGGGACCTAATCTGTTTACAGCTGAAGAGTCTCTCTGTCTCTCCCTCCCCCCCTCCCCCCTCTCTCTCTCTATATATATACACACACACACACACACACACACACATATATATATATATACACACATATATGTAAGCATAAATTGATTAATAGAAATATGTGAACCTCTTTTTATGGAATCTGGCAAGATTAGCTAAAGACCATATATGTATGCGTGTGTGTGTGTGTGTGTGTGTGTATTTATATATATTAGCTGAAGGTATCTTAAGAGCTTGTAACTCAGCACTGACATTGGCCTTACCTTACAAGTGTTGAGTTTTGTTTTTTGTTTTGGTACTGGGGATTGAACCCAGGGACACTCTACCATGGAGCCACATCCCCAGTCCTTTTAATTTTTTTATTTGGGACAGTGTCTTGCTAAGTTGTTTAGGGTCTGGCTAAGTTGCTGAAGCTGGCCTTGAACTTAGATTCTCCTGCCTCAGCCTACTGAGTCACTAGGATCACAGGCTGTGTCACTGTGCCTGGCAGGTGTGAGTTCTTAAGGAGGAGAAGACATGTAGCCCAGGTGGGGGTTAGAGACAGACCAAGGACATCAAGCTCAGGAATCCACACATGACCTTGGCCTGAAAAGCATGAGACTCTGTGCACCTGACTTCATCCTTCATTTCCCCAACAATAAGTAAAAAGCTCTTCCCTTTTTTCTTTCAGTAACATTTCTCCCCAATTAAAAAAAGTAATGCGTGCTTCATGTGACTTAGAAAATATGGAAGAGTCTATAAGAAAAAACCCCTACCCATGTCTACATTATCCAAAGGAAAAGAGTTTAATACTGTCTCTCAATATTTTCCCCTGAAATAATGTTTTTGGTACCATGGATTGAACTGGGGGTGGGGGGTGGGGGTGGGGCTTAGCAACTGAGCTGCATCCCTAGCCCTTTTTAAAAATTTTTAAATTTTGAAACAGGGTCTCACTGAGTTACTTAGGGCCTCGATAAGCTGCCGAACCTGGCCTTGAACATGCAACCCACCTGCTTCAGCCTTCTAAATTGCTGGTATTACAGGCTTGTGCCACCGCACCTGGCCCCTTAGGTAACTTCTTCACGATGACAATGATACCAGTAGGTACGTGAAGCTTACTGTGCACTAGGCGTCGCTCTCAGTCCCCTGCATTTATTAATCCATTTGTCTCCTCCACCCTGTGATGGGGGATCCTTCCTTTCCCTGTTTACAGATGGGGATGCTGAGGCCTGGAGAAGTTCAAGGCCATGCCCGGGGTCACAGAGTTTCTGTGGAACAGAGCTGGGCTTTGACCTCCAGCATCTGCAGGCCTGGCTTGGCCCTCTGCGCCACAGCGCCCCTGGGCACTGGAGAGTGATGTGTGCTCCATGCAGGGGGCTTGGAGCACGTCACTACCTGAGAACAGCTGCCAGTGCTTAAGGATCAAGTGGCCCACCATTTCCCTATTCATATTCCCTAGGCATCATAAAAATATCAGGTGGTACATGCTCTTTGATAGCCTG